AAAAAAACCCCGGGGGGGGGGGGGGTGTTTTTCCTTTTTTTTTTTTTTTTTTTTTTTTTTTTTTTTTTTTTTGGTAGGTTGTAAGATTTTATAGTTTTTAGTAGTGTGTTCAGAACCATCATGTTTTCATGCTCTTGTACAGAAGTTTTTGCCTCTCTGGAAGCATTCCGTTACCTGTGGCATAGTCAGTCTTTAATTCATCCAGCAGCGAAGGCAGGTATTTGGCTTTATTGAAGCATTTAAAAATATAGCAGTAGTTTGGAAGCATCATTGCTGCATTTGTAGCTCCCCCTGCTGCTAACATAGCAGTGCGAGGATATTTTATGACAGTATGTTTTAATCATAATTAAGATACAACTTTATTTTTGAGAAACCCACAGATTTTATGTATTTTCCTGAAATGTTTCTGATGTGTTAGTGTGATTTTTTACTGATGAAGTAGGAGTCAGAAGCCAGGCTGATAAATGGAGAGGAGGCAGTTCATAGGGAAACTTTGATCCTATTAGAACTAAGCAGTAAATAAGCATTGAGGATGATGCTTCAGTTCTACTTTAGTTAATGTAGCTTTTCACTGCACCATCAGTATGCTGATGCTGTACGAATACATAGAAACATAGAATAATTTAGAATAATTGGAGGGGACTTCTAGTTGTGATCTAGTCCAAGTCCCAACTCAAAGTAGGACCAGCAAGTTTGAATTGCTAAGGGCATTGTTTAGGTGATTTTTCTGAATCTCTCTGAGCATCATCTTCTAATGTTTGACTACCCTTATCGTGAAATGTTTTTTCCTTATGTCTAATTAGAATTGTCCCTTGTTGCAACTTGTGTCTCTGCCTTTTGTCCGCTGTGCACCTCTGAAAAGAGTCTGGCTGTCTGCTCTCCCCATAGGTAGTAAAAAACAGTAAGAAGATCCTTCAGTCCCCTTCCCTCAGCCGCCTCTTTTCCAGACTGAATAAACCCAGTTCTTTTAGCCTGTCCTGACACGGCATGTGCTTCAGCCCCCTAGTCATCTATGTGGTCCTCTGCCTGATTCCTTTGGTGTGGCAGTTTAATTCTTGTCTGGTTTTGGGCTTCCCGCTACACAGTGCTCCAGGTACTGTGGATCTCATAAGCTCTGAAGAGAGGGGAGGAATTGCTTTCTTCAACCAGGCTCTTGCTAACACAGCCCAGCATGTGCTTGGCCTGCTTTACCACAGGGATACATTGCTGACTCGCATTTAGCTTGTCCACCAGGATCCTCCGGTCCTTTTCTGCAAAGCTGCTTTCTACCCGCTCAGCCTGTGCTGTTCCATGGCGTTGTTCCAGTATTGTTGCATGGGGTTATTCTGCTCCAGGTGTGGGACTTTGGATTTGCCTTTTTTGAACTTGGTTCCTGTCTGCCCATTCAGGTCCTTCTGAATAACAACCTACCCTCCAGTGTATTGACTGCTCCCCCCAAGTAGGTGTCATCTGCAGACTCACTGAAGGTGCACTGTGTGCCACCGTCTAGGTTTTTAATAAACACGTTAAACAGTATTGGCTCCAGTGTTAATCAGTGGAGGACAGCACTAGTCACTGGCTTTCGATTGGTCTTTGTACTGCTGACTGCAACCTTTGAGGCCAGCAGTTCATTCAGTTTTCTACCCACCTTATGCATGAATAATGGACTGGATAAGTGAACAGTTTGGCTATAACAATACTATGGGAGATGATGTCACAGGCCTTGCTGAAGTCAAGGTAAACAACATCACTGCTTTTCCCTTGTCCTCTGAGCCAGTCATCTCATCATAGAAGTTAGTGAGGTTGGTCAGGCGTAATTGCCCCTTGGTAGATCTATGCTGGCTCTTTTTTTTGCTTTTTAGTCTTTCATGTAGCTGGAACCCCTTCCAGGAAGACTTGCTCCATAACTTTCCCAGAGACTAAGGTCAAATGGCCTGTAGTTCCCCAGGTTGTTGTCCTTGTGCTTCTTGAAGATAGCTTTAATGTTTGTTTTTCCCCCTCACCCCCCATCATCAGGAAACTTGCCTGCTCACCATGCTGCTTCAAGGTGATGCAGCATCTGAGTTATACTGGCCAGCTCCCTGATTACCCTTGGGTGCATACCATCTGGTTGCATGGACATATGTCCAGTTGGTTTAACTGCTCCTTAATTTCTTCCTCTGCTGTAGGTAACACTTTACTCGCACTGACTCTGCTGATGTGCTTGGGCATGTGGGAGGCTTGAGGGCAGACCATATCCATAAAAACCCAGGCAAAAACAAGTTGCCAACTATCCTGGCTTTTTTCGTGTCCCTTGTCTCTAGGTCGCCTTGCCTTGTAGAGGGGCAACCCACCTGTTCCTTAACTCCCCCCCACAGTTACATCATATAGTCCGTTTTGCAACTTCTGCTGCCTGAAATTAGGGGAAATTTATATTGTATACAAATCTAACAAACCTGCCTGCCAAAATCTTTCTGCATGATTTTTTTTTTTTTTATATTCTAAGCTTTTAAACAACTTTGGGGGTACTGAGAGGAATGAGGTTAAAGTCTTTGATGCTGCAGAGCAGTGTACTGTACCTAATTTGTTGGCTGTTTGTTTGGAAACCTGATGTAATTCTTTGCAAGTGTGTGATTCAGATAAATGTCTGGGCATGGGACTGTAAAGACAGTTGCATTACGTTAGGATGTTTTCAGTCCTCAAGGGGGTAGGTTAGCTGATGAATTAAGATTCCTCTCAAATTTGTTTTTTCTTCATATTACTTTGTATCACTTGTAGGCAAGTAGTAAGAAAGTTTTAAGAAATAGACTGAAATTATGGCCTGTGTTGAAAAGCTGCTGCCAGTGGAGGGGGATTGTAAACATAATCTTATGAGTAATGGCTAGGTACTTACACAATTAGTACTACTATTTCTCAGTATATGTAGTGCCAAAGAACATGGTAACTGTGAGGTACCATCACTGTTACGATGCTAGTGATGCTCTTTTGTACTGCTCAAGATTACTGCTTCCTTTGTCTTCCCTTACAAGGGTGGAGAGAACAGAGCAGACTGTTTTCATCCTGACCTGTCCTTGTCTGTGTTTGCATGGATAACTAGCACTGCTCCCACCTCTTCTTAGCAAAATAGAAGAACAGAGCCCCTTGGGGGGGGGCGGGGTGGTGGGAGTGATTGAACAAATGCTGGAAAGGGAAGTAAGAGTGTAGAGGCCTTATTTTTGCAAGGGATGGGGGAGTAGAAAAGGGCATGTGCTGAAATGTCAGCTTCTAAGCTTCCCCACCATGGGTTATATACCCTTCCCAGCCCAGGTTCTGGTTTCCTAGAAGATCAGATCACCTGGACAGCAGTGCTTGCAAGGAGGAAAGAAACCCCCACATTCTGATCCTTCGTTTAGTAACAGTGATATACCAAATGGCAGTTTTGATGCTGGTCAAAGTCACAGTGGAGTTGTCTATTGCTGATAATACGGAAGCTGAAGAACAGCGATGAACTCTTACACGTAGCAGAACTGTGTAGCTGCAGCTCTGGCAGTTGTCAGGTGTGGTTGGATCCATAGAATATGAGAGTGTAGTGTTCATGCTGGCCCTGATACCTAGGCTTCAGGACACATGGAAAGTAAATTTAAGTGTCAGTGATTTTTACATATTTTGGGGGAACTTCTGTAGCTTGTTGGGCTTAATGTTAGGTGTTCAGGTTGTATATCATAGCTTTATTGAGAGAAGTGATACAAGTGAAACAAAAACCCCTACTTCTTTACCTAGAGAGCTTAGCATCCAGGTGAAGCGGAGGATGAGTATTTGCAAATTGGGAGTGCAAGAGTCATAGAATCGTTAAGGTTGGAAAGGACCTCCGAGATCATCAAGTCCAACCGTTAACCTCACTGCCTGGTCCACTTCTAAACCATGTCCCTAAGCGCCACATCCACACATTTTTTGAACACTTCCAGGGGATTGCACCACTTCCCTGGGCAGTCTGTTCCAATGCTTAACTGCTCTCTCCGAAAAGAAAGTTTTCCTAATATCTAATTAGTTGTAGAGAGCGTAGAGAGTCCTTGTGGATTAGTCAGTCATATCAGTTTACAGAAGATTTACCTAAGGGGGACCCACCTTTATTGGTCATTGCAGCAGGGATAGGCTTTTATAAAGAGATGGGATTCTTAAGAAGGAACTCTTAAGAAGGCCTCTCCCATACATGAGGAGCATCACGAGGTAGAGAGGAAAAATGTCTTGTAAAGTGGAGTGATAGGGTAATTAGGGTAATTATTAGAGGAATGCAGTTAAAAAACAAACAAACAAACAAACCAAAAACATTGCTTAAAGCAATGGCTAGAATACTTTGTAGAGAACATAATCTTGAGCACTGTGGACGGCAAGACTGCTGCGCCGAGATCAACATGAGAGTTTTCTAGTAACAGTTAGAAAACTTTTTGACCAAGAATTATAGTTGCAAAGTAGAATTGGAAAAGCTGTGTATTGTTGTAGTATTCAGATAATGTAAACGTTGTGTCTGCTTGCATATGGAGATCTGAAAGAGGACAGTCAAAGGCTTTGTCCAAGGCACAGAGTTTTTGATTTGTCTCACAGTACACATATCAGCCCAATGTGTCTCCATGCATCTGTTCTCCAGCAACAGGTTAACACACCAGCCAGAAAAAAGGCAGCACGAATATGTTCCAGTAAAGCACTCAAGCTGGTAGCTACAAACATACTGCTCCTGTGATACTTTTGTTCTCTTGAGTGCTTTAAGTGAGGATGTACAGTATCACAAGGTCACCTAGGTGTTTGTGTTTTGGCATTAGTAAATGGTTATACTCCTCAAAGCCCATATGGCTATATTTTTAGTTCAGGACATCAGGCTTTGTACTTAATGATTATTGTGATACTTGCCAATATTCTGTCGAATAAACCTGCCTGACTCCATCTGATACATCATTATTGAAAATCTTGAGTTTGCAGCTATTTGAAGGAAGAACATAGATGTGTATATTCCCTGTCCAACACTAAAATGTAGACACAGCTTACATCTCTTGAGAGGCTATCAAAGTTAAAGAACCAAAAAAACCCAACCAACAACAAAAAAACCCCTGTTATATTGTAGCACTCAAACAGTTCCCGTACAAGTAGGAGGTTTGAGGAAAAGTGGCACAAGTTTGGTTTACCAGAAGTATTTACTTGTGGTTTAAATACTTTATGTACTTTTGTGGCTGGAAGAAATGAATTTTAAGTGTTTATTTCTCTCCAGGTTTACATATGTTTCTAAATGCTCACTTTTTTTTTTAATTCTTTCTTCTAGTAGTCAAAGAAGCCCATCACCAGGTCCAAATCATACCTCTAGCACTAGTGCATCAAATTCAACACCTGCACCGCAGAATACATCTGTACGACCCACTTGTTCATTAACACCTACGCTAGCAGCACACTTCAATGAAAATCTTATAAAGCATGTTCAAGGCTGGCCTGCAGATCATGCAGAAAAGCAGGTGAGTACCTGTGTGCTTTGTTCCCTGTGAGAGTGCAAAATGTATAGCTTAAAATCTGTTTTTCTTACACAGGTTGTTTTTTCTAGGAATTAAAAGTATTTAAAAAACCCCCGATGCTTGGCCTTAGCCAGAAGAGAGGAGAGGGGAGAGAGATTAGGCCAAACCTAATGAGGTTTTACATGAGATTTGCCATGTAACAGTTGAGTATGTTCAGTCTAGTTTAAAGTACCAGTTCTTTTGAAAATCTCTCAGATGAATAAGTATCCTCATAACTATTTTCTTACTGGCAAAGTTCTGTTGAGATATACAAAGAATATAAATTTCAACAAATTTTTATAAAAATATTTTTGTTATGTGGAAAATGTTATGAATTGGATAATAGAGTTAAACTGTTGGAGACTGTTCCACAGTTTGAGTCACCGAGTTCACTGAGCTCTACACAGTGAAAAAGGAACTCTGCCTTGTTTGTTGTACCCAGTTTTTAAGATGATGTAGAGGGCTCAGACTGAATTTGGGCTATTTTTACATAATGGGAAATCCAGTAGAATTGCCATCCGTATTTTGTAACTAACTGCATGAAACCTATCCTGTTGTGTTAATACAGGGAAACTGGATGCATGTCAGCTGTTTGGAATGTGTTACTCAAAGGAACCGTATTGGTTCAAGTCATTTTGCAGGCAGCCCTGACTGACACAGTCTGTGTGGGATATTAATCTTACCTAGCCCGGTTTACTTTGGTCTTTTGAAGAGTGCTTGCATGCTGGCTCAAGCCTGCAGTGGAGGCTTTTGGGCGGTAATTTGCAGGATGACTCTTAGAAGTGCGGTCTAGACTGATATCCCATTTGGACTCTGGGGTTCTTGTTTCTTTACATTAGTTTTTCAAATCCAATTATAAGACATTACCAACCTGTACCGAGTCAAATGACTGAGCCACTGCTGTGGAACGTGTGTTTAAGGAAACGGTGCAGCGCAGCCACTCCTATGACCTTGACGCATAGTGTTATTCTCACTGTGTACTGAATTGACATATATCTTAATGCAGAAAATATAGCTTTACACAGTTCATAGGTCATTTTTTTCCTACTATCAGTAATAAAGAGATTAAAAAAAAAAACCCAGCTACTGCTAGGCGGTCACGTACTCCACTGGATACTTTTACCTTTGTGCCAAGTGTTACATATTATCCTGTCTGCTGTTTCAGATGATTTCACGTGACAGTGCTGTTTGTAACCAGTTTTGAATAGTAACACTTGGGGGACTTAAATCAGATATTTGATATTAAAAAAAAAAGTAAATCAAAGTATAGGTGCAATATGTAGTGAAGAAGATGGAAGTGGAGAGGCTAAAATATGCGGTGCCTTGGTTTCTTCAGATTTCTTAACCAGATGCATAGCTTAAATTGAAATTAGGGCATAAGAGCACATGCTAAAGTAAACTGAAAAATAAGTAAGTAAGTAAATTAGGTGAGCCAGGACAGGTATGTGCTAAAGCTGTCAGACTTGAAGAAATGCACTGTGCAGTAATTAGTAGCTAGAACAATTCTTGAACCACTAGCAGTTATTTCACAGAACTCATAAGAAGCAATTAATGTGGAAAACTGGAAAACAATCCAGTTATGTGGTTAATTGGAAAATAATCCACATAACTATCTTTAAGGAATGTGAGAAACGGAATTGTAGGTGGTCTCAACTCAGTAATTGTAGAGGCACTTTGAGTATTGAACAATATCTAAGTAGAAAAAATGATGAATTTACCTTTTTATAACACATGAGAAGAAAACTCTGGTAATAGTGAGCATGGACCTTTTAGAAAGAAATTATGTCAGTTTTTTGGGTTTTTTTCTTTTGATAAAGTATCAGGCTTCAGTAGTATGGGAAAGCAATAAATGTTATATCCTGATTTGCAGCAAGACTGTTAACACCTTTTAACAAGAATCTTTTATATGCAAAAATTATTTTAAGGCCTTTTAAATGAGATTACTTTACTTTAAGATGGGTGACTGGTCAGCTTAAAAAGAAGTACTTCGAAAGTCACTATCGATAGTTCGCTATGAGTCTCAAAGCTTTGGAGTTGTGTAGGACATGCAAAATGATCTCCTGCTGGAGACCAGGGTACTCTTGGATGTCAACACGCTCCAGAAAAGAAAACTTTTAATGTAGGGAATTAGAACACAAAGTGCTGCTTTGAACTGGAGAAATGCCAGAAGTTGATGAAGACTTGTGCTAAATACCATTATTTTGGGGGGGGGGGGGGAAA